CGCGGGTCCCGTGACGGTGGCCGCGGCCCCTCGGTGGCCGAGGCCGGGCCGGCTGCTCACAGGCCTGACCCTGCCCAGCTCGGTCCCGGCGTGGCTGCCGCCGTCCCGACTGACCCATATAAGGTGGCGCAGGGTCGCGCCGGCGACGCGCGCGCCAGAGGGCACGACCCCTGCCGGCGCCACCCCCCGTGGCGGGCTTGGGGGCGCCCCGGCAGTACGGAGGTCACCGCCGGCGCAAAACTCATGCTAGCTCGGCTGCGCGTACGTGGGGAACGCCACCGATGTAGGGCAAAAATAAGGAAGTGGTGGTATGAGTGCTTTTCATGATATAAAGAAGGCGTGCTATTTAAACTGTCTCTTGCGACAGGAAGCTCCGCGCTCGGACAGCCAGCTAAGCTGATGTGGTCCCACGTCCGTACGGTCGCGTCATGCGAACACCCCATCACGCGTCCCCGGGTTCCCTCAATCAGGGGTGGGTCACGCCCCGACGGCGGGAGCGGCGTGTTCTGGCACTCAGGCGCGATAAACCCGCCGCCGTCGCGATTCGTAATTCGCCGAGCATGGGGCACATAGATTTCTTAATGACCTTTGTCAGGCGATCGAGCGTCCGGAGACCGGGTCGGCTGGCGTTGAGATCCGCCCATTCCTGAGATTACTGTGCTGAGCTCAGGGAATCGTGGCGCTTCTGCTGAAACATTACAGACATCTGAGTCATCACCCCATTAAATCCACGTCGGTGAGGTAGAAAACCAGTATTTCAGGACAGGTGTTAATGCAAAAAAGCGACAATCCTGGTCTGCTCGTAACTGTTTTTAAGCCCATCCCAGGCATGCTTTTTGAATTCCTTTAGCGCCTCTGTCAGACCATGGAACAAAAATGTCAAACATAATTGGCTGCTTAACTGTATACAGGCCGAGCTCTCTCAGAAGCTGGGCACATTCGCGACGACATGGTGCATTCATGATGTCCATGAATAGGTGCGCTTTGACACGTGTCGTATCAAGCAAGTTGCATTCCTAGCTGACTAGCCGCTTGGGTGTGAACCGCTATGTTGTTGTGGGCCGGAACTGGCGGGGCCCGCCCAAATCTCTGGCTTAGAACGGAAGCTGGCTTTGGCGTGCCGAAGTGAAATATTTTACACGCCCGGCTGCTGTACAGCCGGAAGATGGGATGCAATGAAAACGTTCTGATGCGATTGCCTCGTGAAACATACAGTGTAATACTTCTTAAATCGAATGCAAAGCCAGAGAATACAGCCATCGGGTAGCCAGCGTGCATTGTACAAGCCGCTGCCCAGAAGCAGATCGCGAGTTTGTCGGCCCGGGCGGACTCTAGCTGGCTGCCGACAGCAATCTGCCAGACCCAGCGTCGCTCCAAGTGGACTCCACGGCGGCCCGTCAGACCCAGCGTCGCTCCGAGTGGACATCACAGCAGCCCGCCAGATCTAGCGTCGCCCAAGTGGACTCCACAGCGGCCCGTCAGACTCAGCGTCGCTCCAAGTGGACTTCACAGCAGCCCGTCAGACCCAGCGTCGCCCAAGTGGACTCCACAGCGGCCCGCCAGACCCAGTGTCGCTCCGAGTGGACTTCACAGCAGCCCGTCAGACCCAGCGTCGCCCCAAGTGGACTCCACAGCGGCCCGCCAGACCTGGCGTCGCTCCGTTGACTCCACAGCAGCCCGTCAGACCCAGCGACGCTCCAAACGGACTCCACAGCAGCCTTTCAGACCCAGCGTCGCCCCAAGTGGACTCCACAGCAGCCCGCCAGTTTGTGGCATGGTGGTAAGGTGTAAAACCAGAGGTGAGAGTGTCCTGTGAAAAACGATGCACTTAACATGCATGTAATGCAAGCCGCTTCAAAGTTGCTGGTCTACAGGATGCAGCAAAGGTGAGGTCCGCCGCTGCCGGATGACTAGCCGCTTCAGTGTTCTGCGGAAAAGACGCTGAACTCGTAAGACAGCGGCGCTGGGTGCAAGTCTCACTGCGGCCGGGTTGTTTGGAACGACTGACATATAAAGAGGTCAGCTGGCAACTCGCCAGAGAGGATGAACCCAGCACGGTGCTGCCGTGTCGTCGAACTGCATAGCACGCCATCACCTAGGCAGTCCTGTCTGGCAAAAAGTCTGGAGGCAGAACCATTTACTTAACGGTACCGACCAAACTTGGGGGATCAGAGTGCACGCAACAATCTCTACTCAGCAAGCGCTCTGAAATCAGAGTCCTCTTGCAAACCAATGGAATGAACTTACAAAATAAATACTATAGAAGATCTTTCGATTTTTAGGACGCTGCAGCTCAGCGTTCCAAAGTTTGCTTTTCAATTCGACGGGTGTGGGTTCGAGACTTTCGAAAGTGTTTTGGAATTTCTGCGTCAAAATTGTAATATTTAGCTGCGATTGCCACTTTAAACAACAGGCAAGATTGTTATGTTAATGGTTTTTCCAAAATGTCCAACCAGAACACTTGTTTTTAGAACTCATATCACGTCGGTTTTCATAAGATGACATGTGGTGATAATATTCAGTTAAAATATTTTACACGCTAGTATATCTTAGAGGATATAAAATCAACTGCTCTTTATACGCTCCCACTGAGGGCTTATCTAGCCTTCCATTCATTAATGTTGTTTCACTATGTTACGGATTTGAACTTCTGAAGGTCATCCTTAAAACCCTCGCGAAGCGTTGGAGGCCAGCCAAGATGAAAACAGACAGATCGTCCGGACCCCTGCCACGAAAGCGGACGCAAACTGAACCCGGTACATATTTCATCGGCGCCATAACCGGGCGCGCCACCGAGCGTCGCTGCCGGGAGGGCCGCAGGAGCGGTACTAAACGAGCACTGGCCGGCGGCGGCGGCAAAAGACCCGTGCCGGCGGGTCGGGCCCACTTGGAGCTGCGTGACTGGCCTGACCGGCCTGCCAGCTCTCAGCATGCGTGGCCGTCTGGCGGGCCGGGGCGCGCCGCGTGCGTGACCGGCTGCTCAGGCCGCCCGGTGCGCCGTCGCCGCCCTGCCCGGCGGCGGCGGCGGGCATGCCACCGGCTGGGCGGCGACGACGCGACTGACGCAGTGACTGCCGCTCTACCTCCTCGGCTTCACATCCGCCCCAGTTAGCGGCGTGAAATGACGCAGTGACTCTCGCACTGCCTCTTCGGCCTTTTCATATACGCTTGTCACACTGCCTCCTCGATTTCGCATCCGCCCTAGTTTACCCAACAGCACCCAAACTAGCAAATTGCATTGCAAATAAAGTGTATCTCGTTGATAACCCCGTTGGCGTCACGAAGGTCAGGTCAGCTCTGCGGATGTGACACTACTGGCGTCATGTACTACTACACGTTGTCAATCGCTAGTTGTCTTCCTCCTGCGGTGTGCACACGCCGTCTTCGGGAATTCGGTCGGACCTCAGCAACAGCAGACCTAGTTAAGCTCTGCAGAAGCGAGGTAGGATGCAGTGGGCGGCCCCGGAGGCCTGATGCAGTGGGCGACCCCGGAGGCCCGATGCAGTGGGCGGCCCCGGAGGCCTGATGCAGACATGATGATGGGTTCTGGCGCCTCGGTGTCGTTCTGGGAGTGCTGGGACAGAAATAACCTAAGCATGCTTGAATCAGAAATGTGCGTTGCTTTGCTGCATCTCGGTGGAAAACTAAAGTACTTAGCTACCATCTAAGCCGTTGTTCTGGTGGCGCCTGAGGTATCACTGGCGGTAGGCATGACGACCTGCGTGGTGACTGGCCATTCCTTGCCTCCAATAAGATGAGAGGCGTGGTTGAAAGAGTCTTGTTATTTCAGCAGAGAAACCAGTGACAATGTGTTAATGTCGTGAGTCCATAAATGACATGTTGCACCGGCCTCTTCTGTTACTGGCCACCCTATCTCATGCCGCGTGAGACGGTATCGTGAGCAAACTTCTCGAGTCGAGGTGCGGGGATGACGTGCTCGTTATGTCTGGTCCCGTACAGAGTTTAGTGCCTGACATACGGCTGACCCGGAGCTATGGCTACTGAGCACCTTCTTGTCTTAACTGTTTGGCTAACTGTACGATAGCGAGGACGTACGTCGTACGTACGAGGACGTCATTTCTTCACGTGCATGGGTATCCGCACGACTACTCGTAAATAATCATAAATCACTGGCGGTTGGTTGACTGCATCATTACATTTCTCTTTTGAAATGTTATTCGATGCTGCTGAGGCGTGCATGAATTGGCATGCAAAGAATGAAAGAGTGCAGTCTCCTGAAAACATGCCGGAGACTTGACGGCGCACACGAGTGGCTGAGCAGCTGAGCGGCGAACACTACCGAGAACATTCCATGAGTATGAGAACTGAATCATGGGATGTGTGACTCACAGCTCCAGCAGTGCATCAGTCATTCCCACGTTTGTCTCATAGACTAAACGCAGGGTAAAGTGATCCAGATGGCTGTTGTCTGGTTGTGCGGGTCGGGCAGCTTGAGCTCGTGAACTGAACACGGAAGACGGCTGTTTTTTTTTTTGCGAGCGGAGGGCTGCCGCGAGATAGCCTAGACTTTTCCCTTCTTTCACAGGCGCGTGAAGTCGATTTAGCGCTTATTCTGACTAAGCGTGTTTGCACTCGAGCTTTAGTTTCAAGTTCCTTCGCTATCCAAGTCATTCGATGATTGCCTGCTATGGCAACAAGGTAATCGGACATTTGCTCATCTGCGTGTGGAAAACTATGCCACATATCAACTGTGTGCGGACTGGGTCATCATCGTGCGATTGTAATCCCTGTCCGAGAGGGCGTGGCCCTGTTCCGTCATCCCCGAACGATGAGTAGTCTGGATGGTCACCAAGCTGCGCACAAACAGTAATTAGCTCATTAACCCCAGATAAGCAGTCCGATTTGTATGGTCGCCAGCTCCAGCCGCCGCTGCCAGCGCTCGTCCGGAAGACTTTAGTCCCACCCGGGGCGAGCACTGCACAGGTGTCTCCACACCGTCCCTGCTCCCACCCGAGGCGCTCCCGATCCCGGGCACTCACATGGAGATGGGCGTGTCGCTGACGTCGTAGTAGCGCTCGATCGGGCACTGGCGCACCGTTTTGGCGTACTCGTCGTGGCTGAGCGCCATGAGGCCGGGCGGCAGGGCCGTGCTCGGCTCGCTCGGCGCCACGTTCGCCTGCTCCAGCATCGAGACCGACGCACAGTTGGGGTGCAGGTCGCACATGGTGTCCGGCTGGCGGTCGCTGCGTGCGCAGCTGGCGGCGCTGGCTTCACTGCCTAGCTTGCCGCGGCCTGGACCGCCGGCGCCTGTCGGCCGGGTTCGGGTCACGCGGCCGCCGCGGAGTCTTCCTGTTGGACACTCGGGCTGGCCGCTGGCGGACCCGGGCACGCGTGCACCGCCAGACCTGTCGGCTGTCACTGCGGAGGCAGGCGCTGCCGGCAGCGGCGCCGCCGCGCCGAACACGCTGACATCTGGCGGACGAAATGTCGACCCAGACCGGCTCAGCGGGCTTCTGCGCGCACGCGGGGCGCGTGCTGGTGACAAAAGTTTGAACACTGAAAGCTTTATGTAGATACATCCCGCGGCGGAGTGGACTGCGAAATGAATGTGTCTCACCCCGTCACTCATCGAATTACTCAGATCAAATAGCTGCTTTGTTCGTCCTTCAACAGGCGTCACGCATTTTACATAGTATCTTGGCAGCGTATCTGACGGCAGGAGACCTAACTTTGCTAATATGTCGTCAGGTAATAGCAGGTAATAGCTGGTAACACATACGTGCAGACTACAGTACCGTGAAAATAATGTAAAGGCCAATTCTTATGATTCCGAGCGTCCTATAATAATGCTTTCTAAGAAATCGTGAGTGAGAAGAAACTAAAACGTATCTCATATGTGTATCGGCAAATCAATTTCCTTCAAAAGCATACGTTGAGATATAACAAAATAGTCTACGAAATCATCAATCACACCAGGGACGTAGTAAGGAGGCAAGGGGACCATGGCACCCTGAGTCAAGCGGTTTACACTAGATACCGGACGATTCCGTAGGACTTGGTCTGAATTGGCAGCATTTCGAAGACAATTTAACATTTGATCCCTGAGGAAAATTATGGGTATGTGCCGGTTTTACACTACATGTGCTCTATGAACCCATTTGTAAGTTGTTAATATTATACATTCCAGGTCGGAAAAAACGAACAAGGGTAAGGCGAATCCGAGATAGCCTGCAATTTGATTATCATCACTCGAGGAGAACGAGGAAGAACTCAACCGGGAGGCATCAAGGTCTTGAAGTAGCCGACCGGATCAGTGTCGACATAGCCTGCTTCTCATGCACATCATGTGAGCCATGTAATGCTGCATGGTATGCATGAGCCAGAATGAATATGGCCCAGACACATGAAGCAGGATGTGCTGCTACGCCGCCAGATCACACACTGCAGACCCGGAGCCCACGGCTAGCTCACCCGCCAGTCCACCTGGAAGTGTCGCGTTCCTGAGCCCACGGCTAGCTCACCCGCCAGTCCACCCGGAAGCGCGGAGCGTCGCGCTCCTGAGCCCACGGCTAGCTCACCCGCCAGTCCACCCGGAAGCGCGGAGCGTCGCGCTCCTGAGCCCACGGCTAGCTCACCCGCCAGTCCACCTGGAAGTGTCGCGTTCCTGAGCCCACGGCTAGCTCACCCGCCAGTCCACCTGGAAGCGCGGAGCGTCGCGCTCCTGAGCCCACGGCTAGCTCACCCGCCAGTCCACCTGGAAGTGTCGCGTTCCTGAGCCCACGGCTAGCTCACCCGCCAGTCCACCCGGAAGCGTAGGGTGTCGCGCTCCTGAGTTTGCTCTGCAGCTGTCGCAGACATCCACACACACACACACACACACACGCACACACACACACACACACACACACACACACACACACACACACACACACACACACACACACACACACACACACACACACACACACACACACACACACACACACACACACACACACACACACACACACACACACACACACACACACACACACCACACACACACACACACACACACACACACACACACACACACACACACACACACACACACACACCACATACAAACGGGGCACTTGACGTCCATCAGACACCCATAGATTGCATGTACGCACACGTTACATCCAAAGATACTATGGCAGCTGGTCGCACATAGCGCATGTTGGTCTCCACGCCGCGCGCACGAGGCATCGCAGGCAGGCCCTGTGGCTGGCGGGTGATCCATCTCGCGAATGTGTGGCCATTAAAGCTGATAACATCACGTTTGTATTGTCCCTGGCACTGCAACAGCGATACAAGTTGTCTTCCTCTTCCTTTCAGCCGTAATGTGGCAGCCTCCCTGGGAAATGAGCGCAGCACAATGCGGCGGTGATGCAGCACGAACACTCAATGCATGCTGTGATCATTGTGGATGGCAGCTATACAAGTCACACTGTTAGTCGAGAGCGAGTCTAATGTCGGGCAGTCTGCCACTCGGCACTCTCGCCGTGTTGCAGGCAATGAAACTGAATTGTTTCGCCACACGCGAAGGCCGCGCGATGGACTGCTCCGGCGGCATGGATGACTGATACCGAACAGAGCCGGCGTGCATACAAAACGCTGTGAGCAACGAAACATTAATAAGACTTAACTGCTCCAATCATTATGTCAGCTGTAGCATAGATCGTGCAAACGTTTGCGCTGTTTGGACAGGGGCTGCCTAGATGCATACGAGCGTGTTTAACGACTAAACGTCGACGAATGTTCGGTGGGCTGGCTCACGCTATACATCATGGCACAAGAGGAACGCTCGGAATGGCTTACGGTACGGCATGGCGGCCGTTCGATCGGTCAACCAAGCTGAAAGGAATACGGTCGGGCATATCAGATGGCACGACGGGAAATACAGAACATGAATAATTGTCGTGAAAACCCAACGTACTGCGTCGGCAGATATGATTGGTTGGCATGTCGTGCCGCCAGCAGTACGGCTGAGGCGAGCCTATGGGCGAAATCAAAAGTTGCGACTTGCAAATTCTTCTAGTGAGTAGCTAGAATTCATTTTTTCCAGTACACGAACTATTAGATATGGTCATGCTGTTTTGGCCCAAGATGTTGACGTTTAAATGCTACTAATGACTTGGGATGGAAAATTCGAGATTGTGCCCAGATTGAGATTGCAATAAACTGTATTTAAAACCGTGATGTTTTATTTGAGTGCTATTGCATGCTCCTGGTGATTAGGGATATCTATGGTATTTGCAACTGGCATAAGAGAACGTCTGCAGAATGTGAAAATAGCACGGCTTTCCACACTGCAGCTGAGTATAATGGTGATGAAGATTAACTCTATTTGTTCGCAAATGCATCGAATGGCTTAACATATTTTTCATAGGTGCATATAATATCTGCGTTTGACAGTGTCATTTCAAACAGGGATGCAAGTCGCCTCAGTGTTTAAAAGCAATGTTCCGCATTGGAAGATATGGAAACAGGCATCATACATGATGATGGAATAAGGTCACTTGTAACTATTGGTGCACTTTTAAGTGAAACCGACGGCTGTAAACAAAACAATTTTTATATTCAGTAAATATGCTCCACAATACGTCGCTGTTTGGTCGCGTCACGGAACACTTGTATGACATTGAGATGCTACCAAATTGGCAGTGCAAAATTACCACCCAAGCATCCACTTGTAGTACTTCAATCTTCCGAAAGATTGCCTTGGCGGTGCTGAAGGGGTTTGCTGAACCAATATTGTTATGTGCTCGCGTTTGGGCATTTTATCGTGGTGCTCTTGCCTTTCTATGCGCATCTTGAAGGTGCTAAATTGCTACAAATCTTATTTCCGTAATAACTAGCACCCATGTTCAAGTTCTTGTATTACGCAGCACGAAACATGATACGTGATCGAAACCTGCACGGTCTAGACAGCATTTTTTGAGAGCTAATGAATGTCTGCTGTAATTGTAGAAATCGTGCTTAAGAACGCCAGCTATGAACGACTCGACAATATGTTCTTATTGGCCTTGAACGCCACATGGCCAGTGGAGTGGCAGGATTTGAATGACGTTTCATGGCGTCATGAGTGCGTGCATGAACTTAAAATAAGATGCACGAAAAAGTCTGCGAATCTTCCCGGGCATGTAGCTCAGAGGTTCAGAGGCTTTTCTCTCAGACTCCTTTCGGCCACGCGTTCTCTCCAGCCCCACCCTCTGTGATTGCTGAGATTAGAATGGCGAGAGTGGCGCGGGCTGAAACGTTTACAAGCGGCACTCTCGCGCTCTCCAGAGCCCACTCCATGATGCTGCATATTGGACATTAACTAGGATTTTTATACGAAAAGGCCCGTTAGCAAGACTTCGGTCGTTCCTGTCACTCTCACTTCGGTCACTTTTGAAAGCCTATCACTCATGCACCTTGAATTTGCATTAGTGCAGGTGGTCTGGCAATGCTACGCAATTAATTCTGCAAATGCCAAACATTCTATCTTGAAGCATTGGTTTTGAGCCGCGTCAGTTAGAACCTAGGATCCTAGATCTTCGGTATAACGCTTAATTAACTCAGCCCAGGTCGTGTAGAGGCCCTCGACCGCTATGTACATAAAAGTATGGTACATGCATTACCAGATGGCCGGTCCAACATGTGGGTGCGACGTTTCAGCAAATTGCTGGCCAGGATTTGGGATTGATCAGCGTTCCGGCCGCGCGGTGTTTGTGGCGACCCACCACATCCCTTGTGTGGACTAAAGTGATGACTGATTCGTCATGTTTCCAGGGTACGAGCTTGTCATCATTCCTGAGCAACCGTCATGCAATCACCTCCCTAGCATTCGCCGCGGATTTGCTGTGTGATGCGATCTGAGTCGTATGGTGCGACAGTGTAGCCAGTCCACAGACGTGAAGTGGTGCGACAGTGTAGCCAGTCCACAGACGTGAAGTGGTACGACAGTGTAGCCAGTCCACAGACGTGAAGTGGTGCGACAGTGTAGCCAGTCCACAGACGTGAAGTGGTGCGACAGTGTAGCCAGTCCACAGACGTGAAGTGGTGCGACAGTGTAGCCAGTCCACAGACGTGAAGTGGTGCGACAGTGTAGCCAGTCCACAGACGTGAAGTGGTACGACAGTGTAGCCAGTCCACAGACGTGAAGTGGTGCGACAGTGTAGCCAGTCCACAGGCGTGAAGTGGTGCGACAGTGTAGCCAGTCCACAGACGTGAAGTGGTACGACAGTGTAGCCAGTCCACAGACGTGAAGTGGTGCGACAGTGTAGCCAGTCCACAGACGTGAAGTGGTGCGACAGTGTAGCCAGTCCACAGACGTGAAGTGGTGCCACAGTGTAGCCAGTCCACAGACGTGAAGTGGTGCGACAGTGTAGCCAGTCCA